TCCACATAAAAGTTTTACTGGATTGAAATATTCTGCAGTTATTTCGATCCAGCCCCTTTCAATGCAGGTTGTGGCTCTGATTCTGATCTCATTTACATGGCAAATACAGAGTAACTGCATTGGGCCAGATAGCCTGCTGGTGTAAACAGACACTGCTCCAGGGAAATGAAGGATTTATGTCAATTTATTAAGTACCTGAGGATCTGGCCCTTTACTTTAGTAGCGTTAGTGGATATATGCACCAATCCAAATGAGTGCAGAACGGCCCCCATATCTTCATGGGTTGTTCGCATCTCTAACAATATTCCTGCTAGAATTCTAAAAATCACTTGTCAACTTACGTCTTCATGCAATTCGATGTATTTACATTTTCCCTTTTCTTTTTTTCCATAAAGCAGAGAAATAACTACACAGAGAGACAATAAAGTGCTAATATTTAAATAAAAAAGGACCCCTTCTCCTTTGAAAGACAGTGCACTTTTACCCCAGTAGCCAAACTACAAACATCAGCTTTGCTTTCCATTTAGGTTTAGTTTACACAGTGTTAAGTGCAGCAAAAAAAAAAAGTGGTTTTGCTTTAGGATAAAAATTCACTTCATGCTTGGATTGTCCATTAGGTTATTTATGTTATAATCCAGAAAGGAAAGCTGTTTATCCTCATATAATGAGTTAAACCTATAGTAACCAGAAAACCGTCACGTTAGATATTTGGTTGGTTTATGCTGAAGGCTTTCGAGTCATTAACAAAGACCCCCACCCCACCCTACCCTTTTCAAAAAGGGAGAGCAGATAAATTGAATTTAAATACACAGTGAAAGACTAACCTAGAATGAATGTTTGTAATCAATTAACTAAACAATTCTTTAAGCGAGTAATATAATATAAACTACTCCATAATTACAACTAAATACTGCTCATTTCAGTACAGCAATTGTTCCAAGCACAAGAGACTGAACTGTGATTATGAAGAAGGGGAATCTGGGGTTGTCCATATTCTAGAGGATTTTTTTTTTTATTTAGTTAAGACAAGCAACAACTCTACAGGTGCCCCAGGCCCCAATGTCTTGGCATTAAAAGCTTTGGTGTAATTTTAGTTTCTTGGCTCATTCAAATATTTAAAAAATGTTTACACCACTTTGAGATAGTCCTAGGAAAAGTTTTAACTTTCATCCACCTTTTCTTTTCACACAGGCACACCTCAACTTTAGCTCAGTCTGACGTTAAATGAAGAAATAACAATGAAAACACATTTTTATACGAAAATAAAACTGGAAGAGCAAAGAGTAATAGACGAAATATTCTTATGCATAGTGTTTTGAATGCAGACTTGCTCTACTCTGAATCACAGTGAAGTCTCTTCAAAGATTCTTCTTCACCAGAGAGAAACTGGTCACATCTTTATAGAATATTGCACTCATTTCTGTGATTCAGTTAATGATATAAAAATGTTCTTTACTTGTATTTCCACTGACTCCACAATGCTCAGAACCATTTTAAAACATTTCATTGGTATCACCTAAACTCCCTGCAAACATTTATATCCCTCAAAATTCACAACTAATGCGGTACTACGCATAATATTTATTCATTTTATACCTCTGCGGTATACGCTGCAACTTTTTCTTAGCTCCACTACTAGCAACATAAGAATATTCTAACTTCTATGCTGGGTTTAATAATGTGTATAATTGTCATTAAAATGTTTTTCTGGCTGGTTAGGTCCATCTATTAGTTTTCAACAAAAACGAGAGCCTACTGATTATTGCCAACCCCATAGGAATATGTGGAACTTAGAAATGAAATCATAAATCACTGTAACATTAATACAATCATAAAAATAACTTTGCTGCTGACTGTACTTGAAGGTGCACTAAGTCAACAATTTTACAATCCAGATGTGGTGTTACAGAGCTGCAACTGTGAGGCTAACGTTACCTCACTTTCCATTTAAAGCCTGATTTTCAAGGGTTTGTGTTTCAGGGAGAATTATTACCTTAAACCTTCCCCGCAACGGAAAGAAATGTGAAGAAAGATGACGTAATTGAAAAGAAAAAAATCTTTTTTGTTTTGGTTTAAAAGAGAAAACAATAGCTGGACAGACAGACCAACAGAAAGACAGACGGGGCTCCCCGTTTTATTACTTTCAGATGTTTGAATAGACCAGTGACACTTTATCAATCTGCACATGTTGGCTTTCTTCAAACTAACAGGCTAGATTCATTCACTGACTTCAGGGGACTTACATCATGAGTGAATTTGGCCCAGACACTTTCAGTTGGCCAAGACATGGAAGTTTAATAGACACCACATGCACAGTAGCTGCTCTTCCAAATGTTTTATCGCCCGAAGAGTTCAACTCCATTGAAACCCTTGAAACTAAACAACTCCCTTGAATCAATACGGTTCTGCCCTTTGACACAACGGGCCGACCGTAACGTATCAAAGAATTCAGACAATAGTTTTTTTCCCCGCTTCTCTCCACTGTGACAATATTTCCAACCCATTGTAAATAAGTGATTCCTTTGATAGATTCAACCATGTCACGCAATGCTAATGGTTACTCCGTCTTTTTTAAACTCCCTACATGACACACTGGAAAAGGAAATGGGAAAAAATTGCAGGTGTATCAAGGATAAAATATTAAGGGTTAAAACCATAAATCCAGGTAATTCAGAAGCCAAGTCTCCAACTTTATCCTAGATTCAGCAGTCTTTCCTTAGGCAATGCCATCTGTCCCAGAACCAACTAAGCCTGCCACATATAGGTACAGTGTGGTGCGTTAAGAACAGAGGGCCTGATTTTCACAGTTACCGAGTGCTCACAACTCCAGCTGAAGGCAGTGAGAACGGCTGGTGATCAGCTCCTCTGAAAAATAGACCCAGGGCTTCCTATCATGTATGATTCACTGGGTTAATGCTGACATTAACCAACAAACTTGCAACGGTCTGTTCCCATTAACGCCTGCAATTTAATTTTTGTTTTTAATAAGAACACTGATTTGTTGATCACTGGCCTCCGAATCCCTGAAATAACATTCAGACTCAGGAAACAAGAAGTCATCGGATTTGCAACACAAAGACAGGTTTTGTTCTGATAAACATTTTTGCGGAGAAAGCCAGCCTTGCAACTAGGAGGCATGAAAGGTCATTTTAAATATTGTTTAGTACCGGAACTTCTGTCAACCTCCCTTTCAAAAAAAAAAAGGTTGTTTTTAAGTGTTAAGAATAAAAAAAATTAGACTGATTATTATTAATGATTTAAACAGAGAGCACCCAGCATGGCCTAAGAGCTTTCCAAGCACAGAGGACAGCACAGTCTGCACCTTAAAGTCTGATCGCTGTGAACCTGTTGCTTTCACACTGGAGCGGAGACCAAGGCACTACCAGATACCCCACCATTGGCCTGACACAGGGTGGCATACTTTAAACCCTATGATGCTGCAGAGAAGTGGCTCACGATGTATTATGCACATGAGGCATTCATTCCTGCTGTGCTATGAAAAAGCAGAATCCGCAGAGACCCAAAGAGGTGAATGATTTCCCAAGGAGGGAGAGCTTGGGAACGGCTGGGCCCGCTTCTATAAAGGCCATACACAAAGTAAATAATCTGCCCCCACCCAACCAGTAAATTTACCAGTGGCATTTTAGTCACTCTCCTAATAAAGATTAAGCACGAGGTTTCCACATACACACTCCATGCCATGATTTTTTTTAAACTAACAGCCCATTCATGCCTTGAAAGATTATTATTGTCTTTTTCTAATGGGGGGTGGGAGAAAACCAATGCAACCCAGGTCATTTTTCTACACCATAACCCCTTCAAAAAGTGTGCATAGAAAATTTTTAAAGAGACAGGAATTAATTTTTGAGGGGCAACCTAGAGTGAGTTGAATGGGAGCAGAGGGCAACCTGAATTGCATGGATTGGAGGGGGGGGTTAGGAGGGCAACCTGAATTGCATGGATTGGAGGGGGGGTTAGTCTGGATTGAATTGTTGGGAGCAAGGGCTAACCTGGATTATATTAAAGAGGAGTAACCTGGATTGAGTGGATGCAAGCAGGGGTGAACACAGAATACACTGGAGTAATCTGGATTAAATGGGGAGAGCAGAAGTGAACCCAGATTACATTTAAGAAAAGTAACCTGCATTAAGTGGAGGTACCAGGGGCTAACCTAGATTACAATAGAGTAACCTGGATTGAGTGGGGTGTGCACAGTGAACCTGAATTACAATAAAGAGGAGAGATCTGGATTGAGGGGGGCAGCAGGACTGAATCCAGATTACATTGGCATGACCTGGACTGAGTGCAGAGAAAGGGGGTAACCCGAATTACAACAGAATAACCTGGATAGAGTTGGGTGGTAGCAGGAGTGAACCCGGATTAGTGATCTGGATTGAGTGCGGGGGAAAGGGGGCTAACCTGGATTACACTAAAAAGGAGTCACCTGGATTGAGTGGGGGTGGGAGCAGGAGTGAACCCGCATTACACTGGAGTGACCCCGCTTGAGTGTGGGGAAATGGGGTAACTCGGGGTACATTATAGAGAAATAACCTGGATGAAGTGGGGTGGGAGCAGGGGCGATCCCGGATTAGGTTGGAGTGACCTGAGGTGGCTAGGGGAGCAGGAGTGAACCCGGATTACACTGAAGTGACCTAGATTGAGTGCAGGGAAAGGGGGCTAACCCGGTGTATATTACAGAGGCGTCACTTGGACAGAGTGGGGTGGGAGTAGGAGCGAAACCAGCCGGAACGCAGGAGTGAACCCGGGTTACCCGAGAGCGCCCCGGGCTGGGTGCGGGGGAACGGGGCTGACCCGGGAGCGCCCCGGCTGGGTGCGGGGAACGGGGCTGAGCCGGGTTACCCGGGAGCGCCCCGGCTGGGTGCGGGGGAACGGGGCTGACCCAGGAGCGCCCCGGCTGGGTGCGGGGAACGGGGCTGAGCCGGGTTACACGAAGGAGGACTCCCCGGGACGGGACGGGAGCGGGCTGACCCGCGTCTCACCTGTACCAGCGCAGCCCCTTCTCGTAGCCGCGGTCGAAGAAGTGGGGCTCGGCGCCCAGGGCGCGCACGGCGGGGTGCGCCCGCAGGAACT